AGCTTGGCCTGTGCTGATCACCACCAGACAAGAGAGCAGGCAGGCGGCAGTCAGGCGTAGTCGTGGCCGAGAGGTTAACGCGATGGACTTAAAATCTTTTGGGGTCTCCCCGCGCAGTTTCCCTGCCGACTGACTATGGTTGGAGTTTGCTGTACCGCTCTCTGTGAAGATAATTGTGCCTTCTAAGGCCTTTGTACTTTTTTTATCTCTGCCAAAATTGCTTGTGGTTTTCATCCCATAGCGCGCGCGTGTGGCAAATGAGTTTCTTCTGGGAGGCTTGTGGGAAAACTGCTGTTATATAAAACGTAAGATGCATGCACTGCACAAGAGCCCGGATAGCTCAGTCGGTAGAGCATCAGACTTTTAATCTGAGGGTCCAGGGTTCAAGTCCCTGTTCGGGCAGAGTGCCTTCTTCTTGTTGGCGGCCTCAGCTTGCTGTCATGTCGGTCCATCTGTGCTGCTGTCTCTCTAATAGAGTGGTGTTCCGGCCTGCTCCTGGGGACCTTGTGCATCTCCCTTGTTAGACACACCCGATTCTGATGGTCAGCTCGTTAGGAAAGAGCGCTCATGAAGTGAAGCGAGTGAGTAGAATAAGACAGATCTACGAAATGTGCAGTGCCGTGGGTCCCCAGAGCCAGCACTGAAAAACCCCATTCCAGAGGATGAGACATGGCAGCCTGATTTCTCCTCAGTGGGACCGCTGTTTTATCTGCTTGCAGGGCTAGCTTGCAATCTCCGCTGGGTGACTGAGCTGGCTAGGGCTATGGATTTCAAGTGGGTCAGGCAGCAGTGTTGCACACAAACAGGGCAGCAAGTGGCCTGTAGTCGTGGCTGAGTGGTTAAGACGATGTACTAGAAATCCTTTGAGGTCTCCCCGTGCATGTTCGAATCCTGCCGACTGCGCACTTTGCTGACAGCCATGAGGACAAGTGGCTGTGCATTTTTCTTTCTGACAGCCATGAGGATAAGTGGCCGTGCATTTTTCTTTCGTATCCCTCGCACAGATATGCGAAATGTCCAGGCCCTCTGAAATCGAGAAACACACTGCAGGCGCTTTGTGTATTCGGGCTGCAGTAGTCGCCACGGATGAGCGAGTGGCACGCCGTGATCGTATAGTGGTTAGTACTCTGCGTTGTGGCCGCAGCAACCCCGGTTCGAATCCGGGTCACGGCATCCCTTTGCCGTTGAGCAATGGGGACGGCTGAACCCTTTTTTCCACCTCATCCTTCAGCTGGATTTTGTGTTTGAAGCTTGGCCTGTGCTGATCACCACCAGACAAGAGAGCAGGAAGACTGGCCAGGGACTGGGACTGGTCAGGCGTAGTCGTGGCCGAGCGGTTAAGGCGATGGACTTGAAATCCATCGGGTTCTCCCCGCGCAGATTCGAACCCTGCAGACTGCGGTTGGAGTTTGCTGTACTGCACTCTGTGCAGATAATTGTGCCTTCTGAGACCTTTGTACTTTTTTCTCTCTGCCAAAATTGCTTGTGGTTTTCATCCCATAGCGCGCGCGTGTGGCAAATGAGTTTCTTCTGGGAGGCTTGTGGGAAAACTGCTGTTATATAAAACGTAAGAGGCATTCACTGCGAAAGAATAGCTCAGTCGGTAGAGCATCAGACTTTTAATCTGAGGGTCCAGGGTTCAAGTCCCTGTTCGGGCGAAGTGCCTTCTTCTTGTTGGCGGCTTCAGATTGCTGTCATGTCGGTCCATCTGTGTTGCTGTCTTTCTAATAGAGTGGTGTTCCGGCCTGCTCCTGGGGACCTTGTGCAT